AATTAGGTTTAATTCGACTTTCCGTGCTTTTAACTTTAAATACCCCTCAAAAAAATGTGAGAATGCATCTGAATTGTCACTTAGCGCACCCGCATGTCACTATCACATATGACTAAGTGCAATTTAATAAGAGCAGAAGGGCTCACTGTATGTTCTGTGCGATTAACCACCAAAACTGTTCCAGGAATCGTATTTTCACTTCACAGCGATTCACTCTACTTTATCATTTATGACGGACACACTGTACTTTGGAGCGAGCTGGGGTTGCGAAGGAGCTCCGAATGATATCTGATCTCTTTGTGGGGGCATCCTTTTTCAAGCTGAGGAATCAAAGACCACCAATGTGTTACAGCTCTAATGTGGTCAGAGGCAGTGGAAGGCGGTGGGGGGAGAATCTGCAGATTGGCTCAGAGGCACACTTGAAATCTTGATCCTCTCCCACTGCGTCCATGCTGGCAGATGGGAGAGAGCAGAGCTCAACTCCCCCGATCGACTCCTGCACTTGCCACACACTGAGCTAACACCGACAGCGTTTATCACTCTCTCTTCGCTGTCGATGGCCACTTTCCGCTTTCCCCCGTTCCCCCTCGCCGCGTTCCCCTTTTTGGCAGGCGGGATTAAGTTTAATGGTATTGTGTGTGACAGATACGGAGTGAGGTTTGGCACTAATTTGAGGCAGACCACGCACAACCATTTTATGGTTTCTTTCCAACTCGCTCAGTGACATGTGGTGGTGACACGTTTGACAAAAACCATCCAAGGTGAAGGGCTGGGTGGGGCCCTCTGTGCGTGTGGGTTGAAAGTGAACTCACCCTGAACGGCACCTTCTTTCGTCCCACCCAGCACCACAAATAATCCAGTTTCTCTACAAGCATCATTGGCTGATTTTAAAAACTGTGTGGTTTGCAGTCTGAGGGTGTTTATGCTGGTTTTATGGTCTCCTCTGCAGCGGTGACACCCCGGGGCCACCTACTTGCAGTAATCTCATAATTAGCTGAATGGTTTTGAAGGAACATGCCAAATATGTGTTACTTGTTGCTTTGAGGCCAGACAAACAGAGGTGTCGGCTGCGAGCAGAAAAGGTCCATTTTACTGAAAACTGGATGAATGAGCTGAATAATGCTTGAGCGTGGTGGGTAGATGCATAATCAGTTTGGTGTGCTGTAGGGAGGCTAACTCATGACATAAACTTATTTTAAAAAGAAAGAAAAGACTTTTTACCAGCTCATGCTCATCCATCAGACAGATGCAGCCTTAAAGCAGGATTTGTGTGTGTGAGTGTGAGTGTGTGTCTAGCCTAGTGAGCAGACCACCAGGCCTCTAGACACGGACCCCGTCTTTGAGCTTAATACAACTGATTGCACTCTGATCAGTCCTGGTAATAGTTAAGGCTTCAAAGACACAGCCTCTGAGGCTGCCAGCAGTTATTTCCAACCCTGAGATCTCAGTCCCAACCCTCGGTACTGTAAGCAACAACCAACACTAAAAGGGGAAAAAAGTGCTAAGCTTTGGTTGGTAGCTACTCTTTCTCGCATTTCTCGTGTACTTTCCTTTGCTTTAACCCCAGTGTTACATGTCTCGGTGTCGGTTATTTGTCTTTTGGTTGTTCCCTCGTTTTCTTTGATAGATAATTTTCTGTTGATTGTCCCGTTTTTGTTTTCCCTTCCTGTCTTTGTCTCGTGCCTTTGTCGCTCTGATTGTCTCCACTTGTGTCTGATTACTGTCACCTGTGCCTCATTCCCCACCTGTTTCTCATCCCCAATCAGTCCACTGTTTTCATGTTTTGTTTTGGTTTTTTGGATCGTCTGCTGTGCTGCCCTTGTGGTCTCGTGGGGCCTTTACTCCAAAGAAAAGTTCAACATACCCAGGATATCGTTCCCTTATCTGGAGTTTCTTTTCCTCATTGGCAGTGAGGCTAAACGGTCACACAAAGCTTGATAAATCAACCCGGAGTACAGTCTGAAAACAATCCAGCTGCCTCAGACCAATCAGCAGCGTGTGTGGCATGTGCTCTGTGAATGTGTATGCGCTTTAAGTGCTTTGTTCTGTAAGACTGGAAAAGAGCTACTGTATTAAAGTTTAGCCTATTTAAAGCCCAAATCTTTCTTCAGGGTCTCAGTGGGGCGTTTTCATTGGGTTAGAAGTGTGGACTGCAGATAGGCACTCAAACACTTTGACTTTGGAGGCACTGTTAGAACAATGACAGCAGCACAAACTACATCTGCTGTTGAAAGCAGTGTGATATGGATTGGAACAAGTCAGTAAATGACCCAGACCAGTGATCTGATTTTTTTAGCTTCTTTGCAATCTCACACCTCCTTCCCTCTTTTATTTCTCTCTTTCGTCCCTGCGCCTCTCTTTGTGTCCCACTCTATATTTTGCGTCTCTTACACAGGTGAGCTGTCACACCTCTTGCTCTCAGCACCTTGCAATTACTCCCTCCGCTCTTCAACACTCACACATACACCTAAATGCCCCTTGGCATGCAAGATAGAAGATAACGCTGCTTTTCGAGCACACAGACACTGAAAAACGAGAACGTCCGAGGATAGCAGAAGCTAATATGTAGTTCAGAGGTTAAAATAGAAACTGTGGTGGAACAAAATGACCAAACTAAGTCAGCAAGTCTTTGTGGTGATGGCACATTTTGTTTTCTTTTCTCTGGCTGATCATCAGGATGGGTAAGAGTTTTCTGAAAGTATTTCTATTTGAAGGAAATTTGAATTTGTTAAATTTTCTTAAAAAACATGCAGATTTTTTTTCAGTTTTCCCTAAAGCTGGTAAAAGTGAACGTAATACCATAAGAATATTGTAAAAGCCTTTTTAAAAAAGTAATGGTTGTGACTCTTTCTTCCTGTACAGTGTGAACATCTTAAATTAATCCACTTGCTTTGTATTAGATCATTTAATAGCCTGTTAACATGGAGATTTAAGAGCAGCTACAAATGCAGCTCACATGGTGATCCTGCAGGCAATTGAGTTTTAATACACATTTGCTGATGAAAGCAAATAATAAGGGAGAAATTGTGATTGTATAGAATAGAAAGACTTTTTTTGTTAAAGACTCGGGATGAGGAAAGTGTTTCATAAGTAGTTACAGTGTACAGATGCTTTAAATAGGCAGCAGTATGCTTGACAGATCCAATAAAAAATGAACAGATGGGCATGGTTGAAGTAATATAGAATCAAAGATGTAGAAAAAACAAAGCCACGTGATTAAAAAGAATTAAGCTTTTCATTTGCTAATAGTATGAGTCTGGGTGTATATGGAACTGTAGAAAGGTCTGACAAGAGTTACAACCAAAGTTCCCTCTAATTTTTCATGTGTCTGAGCGAACACACAAACTCCCTGAGCGGTCCCTTGGACCACTGTGAGCAACAGCAGACGTGTGCACTGTGGTCACGCCAGCATCGAATCCACCCAAGTTACATGGTTTATTAAAAGAATCAAATTACAGCATTTACATTTATGTTAGACTACTTTTAATTAACTGCTTTAGCCCACTTACAATGA